TAATGTGTGTATGTGCCTATTTTCTAATAGAACACAAAGCCCTGTTTGCTTTGAATTTGATTTTTAATCTAAGCAAGGTTTTCTATTTGATTACTTTTATCACTAATACTCTGCACTGTCTGTCCCCCCCCCACACACACACACACACACACACACACACACACACACACACACACAAACATGCGCGCGCACACACACAAACAGGAGTATGCTTTAACTGAGTTAACGTGTTCAGTTTTATAGTTATCAGAGAAAGATCACTCTGAAATTTAAATTATTAACAAACTGATCTGTTTCTTTCACTCCTTGCATCATTTGTCACAAAAGAAATAAATCACATAAAATAAAGCGAACACTGCCTGAGCTAGCCCTTTGTATTGTGTCGTTCCTTTGTTATTTTTGGTCCAAAGAGCTGCTGCAGAGGAACCCAGGAGCCACGTGAGGCTCCTCAGCAGGTTCCAGAGCTCTGGTGGATGTTTCTCAGGAAGAATAAAGCCTGTTGCTGTCCTCGGTGCTCCCTGCCTTCAGCACCACGGACAGCTCCCTGATTCTTCTCCACAGGTGAGGTTCCTGCTCTGCGAGTGGTGCTCGGTGTGCAGAGGTGCAATCAGGCTCCACATTCAAACCAGAACTGGGTTTTTTGCTTCTTCTCCCCACCCCCATGTCTATATTTGTCCCTCCTTCATTTGTAAACGGTTTCTGTGTGCTGCATGAAGAAAAGTCTTTTATTTTATCACTAAGGCCTGAGAGAAGGTGTTTAAAGGGAGGCAACCTGGAGGATGAAGTCAAAGACAGGAAGAAAACAAAGAATATTTACTGAATTAAATATAGCTTTTTAATCACAGTTTTATTTTGTCTGAGTGAAAAACCTTTTGATGAAAACAGTTTACTGTTTACTCCACAAATGAAATGAATAATCAGCATCATGGTGCCAGTTCTGTTCTCCAAATGAAAAGAGAAAAACATATTTATAAAACTTACTGACGTGTGTCCATCTGAACACGTTCAGAGTTCTGGTTGTTAGAATCAACTCCAAGCTTCCACTTGTTAACAGAAACAGAGGAAAAATATTCAGATATTAAATCTCATCATCACAAGATCAATTTTATCAACTGAGTTTTGGAAAAATACATCAAAAAGTTTAACCTTTTTTTTAATCATTGATGTTTTATCCACAGTATAAGCTTTAGGA